TGGGGGGGGGTGTCGGCCCCCCTCCCGGGGGCCCCGCCCCCGCGGGGGGGGGGGGGCGCCCCCCAGCCGGTGTCTCCCTTGGGCTGTCAAAGCTCTCCCGGGGCGGCTGGGAGACGCCGTGGCTGCCCTTATTTCATGGGTTTTGGAGGGAAACTGCCTCTTTACAGCTACTTTCCGTGTTTATATATCTTAAAAGTTGATTGTGTGGTAGCAAACTGACTGTCGGGGGCATAAAACCTGCTGAGCCAGGAGCGAGTGGCCCGAAGGATGTCTGTCAAGCGGCCCGGCCGCCTTCCCCAGGTAGCCCCTGCCCCCAGGAGCCTTTGGTTTCCACGGTTTAGGTTCTAACCGACGTCCCTGCGCGCCTCAGCTCTCGGCAGAGCTCGCCGGTGGCTTCCCAAGGAAGGGTCTGGCTCCTTGGGGGGAGAAGGCCGGGGTTTGATCCTCCCCGCTGCCTTGTTCCTGTGGCCTGGTGCCTGAAACTCGTGGAAGTCACGGCTGCGGGGTCTGTAACTGCCGTTTAGGGTACGAGGAGGGAGATAAGGGCCCGATCGCTAAGGGTTAACGTGGAAACGCTCTGCGAGATTATGCAACCCTCACCGGCGCTGGAGGATATCTCGTAACTTGTGGCAATAGATAAAAAGTTGCTTTTTGAAGTATTTTAGTCCCGTTTGAAACAAGGAGAAGAATTAAAAAAAAAAAGCTGCTTGTCGGCTGCGAGAGACCCAGCGCGTTCAATCCGGTGGGGTTTTGGTGTGGGAACGTGCTTCCATGGGGAGAAGGGAAGGAGGCGCCGTGTTCCTGCACCCTTTGGCGCGGTCCCCTCCAGATGAAGAAGGGAATCGCTGCCGTCTCCAACCCGACTGAGCCCCCGCGAGCGCCCCATCCCGAGGAAGAGGAGGAAATCTCCGCACCGCAAAGGCGATGTTCATCAAGGAGCCCTCGTTCCTCCGCCGGGACCGTGGCCGGGAGGGGGATGAGCTTCTGCAGGGAGCCGGTGGCACCTCGGCTGTGGGAACCTGTTGCGGCGTTTCCTCTGCAAACCCCGCAGAGGGCTTAGGCGTTGGTGAAGGTGGAGACAAACCTCGGGACTTCCGCTGCGAGGCTTTTCTTCCCTCTTCTAGTCAAATATCGTGTAAAGAAGCATCGGGCGGGCAGCTGCCAGCTGGAAAACTTGACGGAGAAGTGGGAAAGTTCACAGCTGGCTGATAAAAGCCGTCGGTGTGAATAGCCAGGGCTTTTCCCAGAGCCGTCTTTTATTTCGAGAGCGTGGAAATATCCCCAGATATCCCTTCCTGATTTTTGAAGTTTTACTGAGTGATGTTTTCTACTGATAAAAGTAAGTCCTGATGCTTCACCGCAGCGCAGGCAGCGTCGTTGGCGCTTCAAAGCGCTTCTGGAGGCGTCTCCAAGTCATCCCTCAGCCGCTCTCCTAACAGACCAGAGCCAACGGCTTCTGAAGACGCTCCTGTCCTGCCGTCGGCTGCCAAAATGCCGAGCGGGTTTGCCAGATGCCAGCATTCCCGCAGCCGGATCTCTGCCGCGGGGAGGAACCCACCTGCGCTCGGTGCCGCAGGACGCCGGCCCGGCTCTCCTGCCCACCTCCCTCCGCTTGGTTTATTGCCTCCAGAGTAAATATTTTCCCCTCGTGATTTATTTCTTTTTCAATATTTGAGTTTAAGCCGGCGGCGCTCCCCAGCTGGCGTGAGCGCGGGGTGTTAACTCCCACCTCGCTGGGACGGGACGCATATCTTGGATATCCCCGTGTTAAGTTGGTGCCTTATTTTAAGGATTAATATGCTCAGTTAGCGTCATCTCGGTCTCCAGGGATCTCTGGATCCTGCGGTTCGTTCCGAGTGAGCAAGAAGGGCTGGCGGCAGCTTTCCGCTCCCTGACAGCGAGACGTCATTCCCCCTTTTTTGAAGGGGCTGGGGATTGCGTTGGGATTGTGGGATCAACGCGTGATGTAAAAACGGGGATTATGAGCGCGGATGCTTTTAGGGCTCCGCTTTCCCTTTGCGGTGGCTGTATGGGGGCTGGGAGGCTTAATTTTGGGGGTCTTAGCTGCTGTTTTTCTGAGAGGGAGCGGGTTTTGGGGTGGTACCAGCAGGTCTGGGCACGGCACGGCCGTTAAATGTAATTCCCATCGTTGCGAGGCTTCCCTTCTCCCTCCGGTACAAACCACCCGTTCAGCGGAGCGTCTTCCGTCGCATGGGGGGCCGCGGGCTCTTCCCCACCGCCCTGCTGCGCCGCCCGCCGCTCTCGCCTTCGTTAGAAGCGGCGCTCGTTAGCCATCGGCGACGTCGCGCTGTCTTCGTTATCCCTCGAATCAATCGGTTTCCTTCACGCGGATGTGCGAGAGCCCGGCAAACCCACGTTCGGTTCTTCCTCGTTTCTCGGCGGCTTCCAAACTCTCGCGCTTCAGGGGTTTCGCCGCCCCCCCCCCCGCAACACGATTTTCACTACGTCCGTGATTTCTGGGGCTCCCTGACGATTTTCCGCTCCGGAGCAGGAAGGGAATTGCCCTTGAACCCCGCAGGCCTGGGCCGCAAATTCCTGCGTTCAGAAACAGCGTCCTGCCGCGCGCCTGCCGTCGGAGAAAACGAATCTGAAATCAAACTGTTTCACAACTGCCGCAACAAAACCACGCAGGCTCTTTGGGCTGGTTTCCTCCTGTTTGGCGTTTTCGGGAAAACGATGGGAATAGCGGTAGCAGGAAGTGACAGACAGACGCCCGGGGCGATAAAGCAGCCGCCGCGCCCCTCGAACCCCCTCGTCCCCTCAAATTCGCCTCGTTTCGGGTCGTTTGAGAGGCCACAAGTTTCCTGCGGCGGCAGAGAACGCGTTTGCCTCGGATTACAGTGCGGCCTGTCTCTCCGGGTTAATTAAGGTTAATTAACAGGCGCCTTTCTCTCTTGCAGGCTGGTGGCAAGGCGGGCAAGGACAGCGGGAAGGCCAAGGCCAAGGCGGTGTCGCGCTCGCAGAGAGCCGGGCTGCAGGTAAGGCAGCCGTCTCCTCGTGAAACGGGAATTGCCGAGGGAAGATTCCACTTTGGGCGGCCGGTTGCCCCAAACCCTTTTTTTGGGGGTGAAAACTTCGTGTTTTGTGACTTGCGTTGTCCCTACGGAGCGACGGGCGCTCGCAGGGGCTCCTACGGAGAGGGCGCGAGGACGGATTTGGATCAGGGCCGCGCAATCCCGCGGGAGGGAGCCGCCCTGCGCGGGTGTCGTTCTGGGGGCGCGCGGGGGCTGTGGGTGCTAACGAGGTGTCGGTTGCCCCCGCCCAGTTCCCGGTGGGCCGGATCCACAGGCACTTGAAGACTCGCACCACCAGCCACGGCCGGGGGGGCGCCACCGCCGCCGTCTACAGCGCCGCCATCCTCGAGTACCTCACCGCCGAGGTGGGTCCCCGCGCTTCCCTTCCTCCCTTACAACATAACGTAAAACAAAACAAAATAAAAATCCCCGTGTCCCTCGGGATCCCGAGTGTCTTCCCGATTTCTCTCGGCAGGTGCTGGAGCTGGCGGGCAACGCTTCAAAGGATCTTAAAGTCAAGCGGATCACTCCCCGTCACTTGCAGCTGGCGATCCGCGGCGATGAGGAATTGGATTCCCTGATCAAAGCCACCATTGCCGGGGGCGGTGGGTATCGTCCCCCCTTCCCAAACTGGGAATTTTTAAAAAAAATATGGGAAAATTAGATGGGAATTCGGTAGCGGTGATCGATACCGGAGGCTCGCTGCTTCCCTGGATCCGACTGGAGCGCCGGGGGGGGCGATCCATCGAGCGGGAGGAAATGTTTGCGCCGGGCTATCGCAGAACTCCGCTGGGAGCGGCGGATTTCTCGGGGCCGCCTGGGAAGTCTGACGGGAACCCTCCTCCTCCTCCTCTCTCCGCAGGCGTCATCCCCCACATCCACAAGTCTCTGATCGGAAAGAAGGGACAACAGAAGACGGCGTAGAGAGGAAAAAAAAAAAAAAAAGGGGCC